TGGTACAGCGAGCAGGCGTCTCTGGAGATGAGAGAAGCAGCCGCTACAGAGATACGCAGAGCCATCACAGGTACGCACGCTAATGAATCAGCCTCCGGTCATTAACGAGCTGATCTGAGTCATTAAAACAGTCCCTGTGCGTCTCAGGCCGGATTCCTGACAGTCTGAGGAACTGTGTGAATAAGGAGTTCTTCCTCTCATCGGGTTCCTGGGGCCTGATGGAGCAGCAGGTTCATCCTGAGCTCAACGGCGCCACCTACAGGTACGACTAGAATCTTATTTAATGTTCATCGAGCTCATCGTTCATTATTTGTTTGATTTTCATTCATTGTTTCACCATGATCCCGACCCCGTAAGCTCCACCCCCACACAGTCACATGACATGAGTTTAACTCTGAGCCCCGCCCACATCTGCTTCTCTCGCGCAGCCAAGTCAACCAATCAATGCAGGCTATCATGACTGGCTCCGCCCCCCAAGACAAAATCAATGCCTAAAGCAAGAGCAGGTAAAAGAACGTCAGACGCCTGTCTCTGTCTCTGCTGCTTTGACCTTTGACCTCTGATGGCCACACCCCCCCTCAGCATTTAGTTTAATAGATTAGTCAATAAACTCTGTTTCTCTAAACCTTCTTTTATAGAGATTTACATCTTTACAGGCTTCAGAGCCAGAAACATACACAAACCGCTATAAACGAGCCTCCTTTTTTGTTGTTGATATTATTATTAAAAATAATTTTTGTTAATTTATATAAAGTCGAAATTAAATAAAATATAAATATTAGATGGAAAAAACGTAGAAATGTTGCCTTGTCAACTAACTAAAATAAAATACGTTTGCTGAAGTACTAAAATTATTAAAATTAAAATAAAACAAAGCTAAATAGAAATATATATATATATAAAACTAATAAATACACACAAATATTGTAAATGTTAATGTTAATGAATTAGCAATACACAATGCCAAGTTAAAATATTATTTAAATATTACTATTATTTCATCTTATCTTACATTTAGAGACCAGTGTTATTTTAGTATAATTATATACTATTATAGTGTTTTGTAAGATTTAGAATTATTTGCATTATTTTACTTTTATATTTTGTTTTGATTTAAATTTGATGTTTTCTTATGTACTTTTGTCTTTTTTATTAGACTTTTTAAATTCTATTTTAAATATTTAGCAATATTAGTACTTCAACTTATTTTATTTCAGTTAGTTGCCAATGCAACACTTCTCATTTTCATTTTATTTAAATTAAAAGTTTCATTTCTTTAATTTAAGAAGTTTTTCATCTGATATTTTTTCATTTTATTTAAATTAAAAGTTTCATTTCTTTAATTTAAGAAGTTTTTCATCTGATATTTTTTCATTTTATTTAAATAAAAAATAAAAAAATTAAGTTAGTAGCCAAGACAACATATTTAATTTTCATTCATATTTTTAAGTTTTAAGTTTTTCATCTAATATTTTATTTTATTTCATTTATATTATTTTTTTGTATTTATTTATTTTTATTTTTATTTCAGTTAGTTGCCAAGACAACATTTCTAATTTTCATTCATATTTTTAAGTTTGTTTTTCATCTGATATTTTTTCATTTTATTTAAATAAAAAATAAAAAAATTAAATTAGTAGCCAAGACAACATATTTAATTTTCATTCATATTTTTAAGTTTTAAGTTTTTCATCTAATATTTTATTTTATTTTATTTATATTATTTTTTTGTATTTATTTATTTTTATTTTTATTTCAGTTAGTTGCCAAGAAAACATTTCTAATATTTATTTACATTTTTAAGTTTAAGTTTTTCATCTAATATTTTTTATTTTATTTTGTTTACATTATTTGTTGTATTTTTTTATTTTCATTTAGTTGCCAAGACAACATTTCTAATTTTCATGTACATTTTTACATTTAAGTTTTTCCATCTAATATTTTATTTAATTTAATTTTAATTTTTTTTCAGTTAGTTGCCAAGACAACATTTCTAATTTTTATTTACATTTTTAAGTTTAAGTTTTTCATCAATTTTATTTTATTTTACAAGGCCACATGTCTAATTTTCATGTAGTTTATGTTTTTGATCTGATATTTTTAATGTTTTATTTTATTTTATTTATTTTAAGTTCAGTTTATTTGATCTTTAGTTCATTTAATGAAAACAAGTTTTTAATAGCGTTCAGTTGTTTTTAATAGTTGTATTTTTCCACCCCTTTATTTCACGCTCATCACATGTCTGCGTCGTGACCTTTGCCCTCTCCCGCAGGTTCCCATCAGGTCTGGCTGCAGTGGCAGCGGGTCTGGAGGGTCTGGTGCCGGTGACCCACTCGCTGCCCGCCGGAAACCACCCAAACACCGTCCCAAGCCAGCCCTCGAAACACGGAGAGAGCAGAGAACAGCTGAGCGAGCAATAGCATCTTCATCATCATCATCATCATCATCTTTCATTCTTTTCCTTTTTCCCGTTTTGGAGGAAGTGGACGTTTTTAGCACACACGGAATGGAGTTTGCTAGTTTGACGTGTTTCTTTTCACAATCGTCTCTCTTACGTGTGAATAATTCAATTGAAATAAATCAGGCAATAGGACGAACGTGACGCCCGAAGCCACGCCCACTCAGCTCAGCGCTCTGCTCTGATTGGCCAGGGCTCTCAGACTTCAGCCAAGGAGTGAAACACCAAACGAAATCTTTCTCTCGTGTGTTCTGTTTGTGAATCTGCTCATCAAACTGTGATCTCTGCTAACGAACAGTTCTGTTTCTTTCTCGTACCAGCAGCAGTTTCGTCTTTTATATTCGATGCGTTCTTGGTTTCAGCTTCACTATAAGACTCAGGAAGATCTCACCTTCACAGTTTTTCTTTTTCTGCATATGAACAGATATTTTCTCTCGTGCGTTCTCATGTTAGTATTTTTATACAGTGACGTGTCTCGGTGGACGAGCAGTGTCGCTCAGTAGGTTTGTGTGGTTTAGATGAATGTCCTGTACTCATAGTCTCGTGTGAGCCTCCCGCTGAAGGCGTTGTCGGTCAGAAAGCCAGATCTGATTCAGAAGCGGGAGGTTGTGTGTTTTATTGTGATTCTTTGTATGTGTTTCTTGTATACGGTGAACATTTAGTATCAGTGCAGATCGAATAAATCATGCCGGTTCAGAACTGGGTTTCTGTCTGTTTTATGATCACTGGAATATGAATATATATATATATATATTAATTTCCATCATATCTCTCCATGCATGCTTCGGTATTGTCAGGTTGTATTAATGTTTCATTTTCAGCTTGGGAAATGCTGAAATTTCATACTGACATGTTTATCGATTGTTTCAACAGTTAATCATAATCATAAACGCAAATCAAGCAAAGGAGAAAGTACTAAATGTGCTGCTTGTTACTGGGTTTATTTAATATTTGATATTATTTAGTATGTGTGTGTTATTTTTGTCTGATACAATAGTACCCTCTAATGCTGCAAAAACAAATAAAACGTGTATATATATATATATGTAGATATTACAGATAGATGGATACAGTAAATAAATATATTATTAAACTATATAATTAATATATATACATCTCACTAAATATATAGATATACCTGAGAAGCAACAGGCAGTGAGATTTCTTTAATGTTTTTGTGTAATATTGCATTAGCATATTTTATTTTATTTGTTTTATTTTATGTGGAAAAAAAATCTTAATATTTTACGCAATTTTGTACTCATATTAAATAAATTAATATTTATATTATAATTATTTAATATATATATATTTTTTTTTTTTACTGGAACAAAAAAAGCTATATCATATTTTATTTTAATTTGTATTTTTTTATTTATATATTTGCATTGAACTAACCATAACCAGCCATTGCTAACTAAAATGTTTCATAGTTCAGTGTACGTTTGTCTTCCACTGATAAAAGCTGTCAGATGCAGCAGTCTGAAGATCCATAAATCAGAACATCATCAGCATTTAAAGTCAGTCTCAGGCTTCTGGACCCTTATATATAATCATTATAATTCATACAAACACAAAATGCAATGGCTAAAAGTCTTTATTTTGAAATGAAGCACACGTTTTCATGTTCAGCAAATGTGCTGGTGTATTTCACACATGAAAGAGCATCACGGCCAGAGTCCGACAGTGAGGTCACACACGCGGCTAGAGGTCAGCTAGAGGTCGCTCTCGCCGTACAGCACCGTAGAGAAGGCCGTGTAGTCCAGCGCCCCCGGGACTCCATCAGGTCCTTGATACGGAGGCATCCTGGAGATGCAGTACTCGGCCTGCTCCGGAGGAAGCTCCCGACGCAGCTCATCCACCAGAATATACGGCTGCAAGCACCAGATCATAATGGTACACGGTAAAGCAATAATCCCTGTGAAGCCGTGGTTTACAGTGAACCGTTGTTAGCTGTTAAAACCCCTTAGCTGTTATAAATTCACTGTAAACCACAGCTTCACGGGGATTACTGCTTTTATAAAACGGTTATATACGTAGTAAGGTTTCACAAAATAAAGCAGAGCAAATAAAGTGTAATGATATTAATAAACACAGTATTCTTCCACCAAACAATGTAGCGCCTCAGAAACAGTTGTGGTTGCTACAAAGTGGTTGCCGAGCAACACACAAACGTAAACAAAGGTGTGTGTTACTTTGTAGCGTCATTTACAACAGCTTCCAACACGGCTCAGCCAATCAGAGTCAAGCACCGGAACGCTCCACTTTATCATTTGCCTTTAGTGACAAGTAACTATTTTAGTAACTTTTAGAAGTAAAGTTTGATGTATTTGATCTGCACTAAAGGGTTCCATGCATTTGGATTACACAGTTTTACCATAAACGTAATGTGAGGCATATTTAGCAGTCCTTCAGAAATGAAACGGGTCAGATTTCTGTTACAGTACTAATAAACTGATGTCTTCGATACACAATAACCTACAGAGTACTAAGACGATCTTGGTCTGTCGCTGAATTTTGTGTTTTTTCTCTCTTAAAAATCTTTTTTTTTCTGAAGAGAGAGAGAAAGTTTTTTTCAATGAGAGAAAAACATTGAAGAGTGGAAAAAGTTTTTCAAAAGTTTTTCAAGTTCTTCAAATCTTTTCGAAGAATTTTTTTTTTTGTTGAGAAAAGAAAATGAAAGAGAAAAAAAGTGTTTGTTTTGGATAAGATAACAAACATTGAAGAGAGAAAAAAAATTAAGATAAAAAAAGTATATATTTTTGAAGAGTGATTTTTTTTAATACAGAAAAAAAAATGTTTTGAAGAGAGAAAAAAAATTAAGATAAAAAAAGTATATATTTTTGAAGAGTGATTTTTTTTTAATACAGAAAAAAAAAAATTTTGAAGAGAGAAAAATGTTTTTAAAGAAAAGTTTTTTTTTGATGAGAGAAAAAAAAATTAAAGAGAAAAAAGGTGTTTTTTTGGATAAGAAAAAAAATTGAAGAGAGAATTTTATTTTATTTTTTTAAGAAAGAAACGCTTTTTAATACAGAAAAAATCTAATTGAATATTGTCTGTCCCACAGCTAGCCATATTTGATCCATGTTCATACTTTTTAACTTAATAAATTTAGTTGCAAACTGCTAAAATAAAATAAAAAATGACATAAAAATGTATTAATAATTCAAATTTAAATAAGAAAAACAATGACGCAACCAAAAAATGTGAGGCATATTTAGCAGTCCTTCAGAAATGAAATGGGTCAGATTTCTGTTACAGTACTAATAAACTGATGTCTTCGATACACAATAACCTACAGAGTACTAAGACGATCTTGGTCTGTCGCTGAATTTTGTGTTTTTTCTCTCTTAAAAATCTTTTTTTTTCTGAAGAGAGAGAGAAAGTTTTTTTCAATGAGAGAAAAACATTGAAGAGTGGAAAAAGTTTTTCAAAAGTTTTTCAAGTTCTTCAAATCTTTTCGAAGAATTTTTTTTTTTGTTGAGAAAAGAAAATGAAAGAGAAAAAAAGTGTTTGTTTTGGATAAGATAACAAACATTGAAGAGAGAAAAAAAATTAAGATAAAAAAAGTATATATTTTTGAAGAGTGATTTTTTTTAATACAGAAAAAAAAATGTTTTGAAGAGAGAAAAATGTTTTTAAAGAAAAGGTTTTTTTTGATGAGAGAAAAAAAAATTAAAGAGAAAAAAGGTGTTTTTTTGGATAAGAAAAAAAATTGAAGAGAGAATTGTTTTTTTTTTTTTTAAGAAAGAAACGCTTTTTAATACAGAAAAAATCTAATTGAATATTGTCTGTCCCACAGCTAGCCATATTTGATCCATGTTCATACTTTTTAACTTAATAAATTTAGTTGTTTTCACAATGAATATATTTCTGCGGATTCAAATCTATTTGAATAAATGCATTTGGAAAATATGATTATTTAAATAAAATCAAATAGATGCAAACCGTTATGAATACGCCATGCCATGCTAAAATAAAATAAAAAATGAAATAAAAATGTATTAATAATTCAAATTTAAATAAGAAAAACAATGACGCAACCAAAAAAAAAAAAATTGCAATGCAGTTCAGAATAAGTCTCCAGTATCTCAGCGTGCGTTCAGGGCTCAGAATCTCACCTTATCCGCAGCCAGGATCCTGAAGGAGGCGATGACCTGCTCCGAAGTCTCTGTGTCTCCGGTCTCTCGCGTCATGAAGTCCACGAACGACTGGAAGGTCACCACACCGGCGCCGTCGGGATCCACCAGAGACATGATGCGAGCGAACTCAGCTTCCCCCTGCAGACAGAGAGACAGAGAGACAGAGAGACAACACTCGCCATGTGCTCAAACACAGCCGAGACGCTGCTTCACTGCTGTTCTTTACCAGATCATAGCCCATGGAGATCAGACAGGCTCTGAAATCATCCGTCTCCATGCCACCCTTCTTCTTCTGCAGAAACCAACAAACACAAACTATCAGAAGAAGTGCTTACAGCCCACTTTACTTCTGTTCTGACTGGACAAACTGCAGGATTTAATGACGAACAGAAGCAAATGTTTCGAAGATTCAACGGTTCAAAGGAGGCAAAGATCTCAGTGAACCTATCAACCTGTGTCTGATTTGACCTGATCTTAGATCAGTTTCATACATTTGTAGACATTTATACGTGTCCCTGCAGCACAAAAGCAGTGTTAAGTCGCTGGGGGATATTTGTAGCAATAGCCAACAATACATTGTATGGGTCACAATTATTCATTTCTCTTTTATGCCAAAAATCATTAGGATATTAAGTAAAGATCATGTTCCATGAAGATATTTTGTAAGTTTCCTACCGTAAATATATCAAAACTTAATGTTTGATTAGTAATATGCATTGCTAAGAACTTCATTTGAACAACTTTAAAGATGATTTTCTCAATATTTAGATTTTTTTGCACCCTCAGATTCCAGATTTTCAAATATTGTCCTATCCTAACAAACCACACATCAATGGAAAGCTTATTTATTCAGCTTATTTATTCAAATTGAAACATAAGACTGGTTTTGTGCTCCAGGGTCACATAATAAAAAAGGAAGAGTTGTCTTTATATTTGGCAAAGCCCTGCATAAAACAAACAAAGCAAGCAATACAAATGCATAAAACAGCCCATATTACACAGACACTTCATATTTCATAGTATTTGATGATTTGTTAAATGCATTTAATAGATCACACTTTCAATAAAATATTTGCAGTTATAATAAATAAAAGCTGAGTTTTCATTGCATTTACACAGTTTTGACCAGCAGGTGTCACCAGCGAGTCATTTCACAATATGACTCATTCTTGAATCATTTTGTGAATCAATTGATTCAAAGCTTCATAAGGTTCATTCCCCCATCACTGATGAAAAGTGTCTCTGCATGACGGGGAGATTAAATCTAAAGTATAATATGAAAGTAAACAGTTAATTCTGACTTCATGTGACTTTAACAATATCGAATGAAGCAGAGAGAGTGAATAAGCAACACTAAACTAGTTCAACAAATCTCAGTTCTGTTCTGCAGTTTAGTTAGTACCTATTTTAGTTGGAAGTGGTTACCTGTTCGGCCAAAGTTAACCGCTCAAACCTTCAGTAAAGTTTCTTTTGGTTAATCTGCAGCAATACACACAAATATGAAATTATTATATACATTTCTATTAGTGGGGATTTGTTAGCAGTGAGTTACAGGTTAACTCTAGTCAGGGTTAATATAGTTAACTAAAACTGAAACTAAAATTCTAATTATTAAAAATCTTTTTTGTTACTTGAAATAAATGTTAACTGAAATAAAAATAAAATAAAAACTATATATATATACATATATAGAGTTACATTGCTCATTTTAATTTATTTTAACAAACTGCTAAAACAACTAAAACCTAAACTCAAATTAAAACCATTAAATAAACATTTTTGTTACTTAATAAAATATACTAATATAACTAAAATTAATTATTAAAATAAATGTTAACTGAAATAAAATTAAATATGAAAAACTTGTGTGTATGAATACGAAAATTAAAATGAATTTATGTAGTAAAATAACTCAAATGGAAATAAAAATAATAAAAATCATATAGACATATTTAAAAACAACAAAAACTACTACAAATTATTAAAATGAACTAAAATTTAAAAGAAAAATATATAAAAATAAAAACAGATTCAAAATATTAATAAAAACTATAACAGAATAACATTTCTTATTTTATTTTAATTGAGGAACTAAAATAAATGAAAACTGAAATAAAAATTAATAAAAATTATATAGACCTACGTATAAAAGAAATACTAAAAATGACAAAAACACACTATAAAATTACTAAAACTTTAACTAAAATTTAAATGAGAATGAAAAGTATACAAATAAAAACTATTCAAAATATTGATAAAAACTATAATAGTATATCAGTGATACAAAAATGTCACTGTTGCCAAGGTAACATTTCTTATTTTCTTTTAATTGTTGAAGTAGTAATATAACTCAAACTAAAACTGTAATAAAAATTCATAAAATCTCTCTCTCTCTCTCTCTCTATATATATATATATATGAAATAAAAATGGAAAATATAAAAATAAAAACAATTCAAAATATGAACAAACACTATAATAATATCTGGATGATGACAGTAGAACAACAGTATCAGTGTAATGCTGTGTTTGCGGCGGTTCACCCGGTCGAAGTGTGTGAAGGAGGATCTGAAGTCGTTGAGCTGCTGCTGGCTGATTCCTTTAGCGTCACGCGTCAGGATCTGCGTCTCCATCTCGTTGATGGTGCGAGCGACGGTGGTGAGCAGTGACTCCCATCCCACACGCATGTGCTGCAGCACAATCTGGTGTTTGATAGATCAGTCTACATGTGTGTGTGTGTGTGTGTGAGTGTGTGTGAGAGTGTGCGTGTGTGTGTGTGTTTGTGTGTATGACCTCCATGCGTGTCTGTATCCAGGGTCCGATGGCATTGGCTTGTGCTGCAAACTGTCGTCTGAGTCTCTCGTTCGCATGCTGTCGGGACAATTCCTCATGCAGGGCACCGTCTCTCTGAGGAACCAACTTCTTCACCTACACAATATAAGCAAGAAAATATAATCTCAATGTTTACAATGTCGACTGACAGCGTTCATTAATGACAGCAGCGGCGTGATAGTCCAGTTCACTGCCCACACACACACACACACACACACACACATTTATATTTAATATATTTAAAGTGCATCACTGCAGTGCATCATGTTCCCAGTGGAGAGCAGCATCAGCTCAGACTCACAACGGCTAATACAAACAGATAAGCTCTTACAAACGCATTATATTTTACATTTACATTTATATTAGACAGCATTAGGGTTTAATACTCTTATAGGACGTAGGAATGTAAAGATAATATTTTAGGGTTTAAAACTCCCAAAGCACCCTCCGTAATTGAACTGTCCAATAGCAAGACATTATTCCAATAGAACACAGTAGAGTTCTGTTCAAAATCACGATATCCAACAGAATTCTAAGATCATAATAGATGCACTGATATTCCATAAGAATCAAGATCTTACACTAAAGTTGCGCTTAAAAAAATCACCAGGAAGATTCTAAAAACCACATCTTGAAATTCAAATATGATTGTTTTGAGAAGGGACCTCAACCTGCAAATTTTAAGATATTTTAATTAGAAAACAAGGCAAAAAGTCAAATTAAGAGGCAAAAGAGGCAAGGCTTTTGTTTTTGCTTTTTGCCTTAAACCTAAGAAGCAATTTTGCAGCATAAACTGCAAAAAATTATTTTCTTACTTAGTATTTTTGTCATGCTTTCCAGTGCAAAAATCGAAACATTTTGAAATCAAGATACATTTTCTTGAGTTTTAAGTCTTGTTTTCTGAGAAATGTATAAAAAATGAAGTGAGTTTATGCTTAAAACAACAACCAATATCTGCCAATGGGGTCAGAAAAAGCAACTTAATTCAAAGGGGAGACTTTTTTTATTTATTTTTTTTTTAAGTATAATTTTTATTTTTATTTTAATTTTTTTATTGCTTGTCCAGTAAATGCATTATGATTTGTGAATGCTTAGATGTTTGTACTGGAAAACAAGACAAAAATACTGAGGAAGAAAATATTTTTTGCAGTACTTTTGGCAGAATGAAATGCAAAGCTGATTGAATCAAATGTACAACAAAAGTACCCACAAACAATCTGAGCACGGTCGGTCAATTTGAGCATCCTTTTAGGAGTGTGCCCTTAGGACACATTTAACAAGATGCCTATAGACGCACGCTCATGATGTTCCTGATGGCAGCGGCACCTGTTCTGATGGAGGTGTTGACAGCGTTTCAGAGCAGATCAGAGGAGTTCAGATGCCTCTGTCACTTTGACACACCGGCATGAACAACTGAACGCAGCTGCTACAAATAGAGCGCTGAATATATACTGAGATGTGTGTGTGTTTCTCGGTACAACACTGACTCATTGTCACAGAGGGAATCTGACAGCTGGTCCGACTGCATTTAGAACAATAGAAACCCAACACTGCTGCCACATTCACTTACCTCTGCAGCCGGGAACACATTTAAAACACTCGCTGCTGTTTTAAACCCACACGGCATCTCGAGATAACCGCAAAACACATGTTCAGGTGGTTTCTTTATAGAGTTAAGTGCGGTCAATATTAACCTTAAGGCAAGACACCACAGGTGAATAGGTTAAACACTTACAAAAAAATGTATTACAAGTTTTCTAAAATGCTATGTTTAAATATGCAAATTATGTGTTATCTAATTAAATATGCACTCATTTGCATACATTTCCAGAACACTGGATAAAGCCAAATTTCTTGTTTGATTTTGTTGCCATATTAGAGCTAAACGTTTTTTTTATTTCTCTTTTTATTATTTCATAAATCAGGAAAACAAATAATTTTCGCTATGTTTTTAGGAATAAAATGCTGTATAAAACCAGGCGAATGATATATGAACAAACCCCTCAGTAAAAACCTTCATAATATAGATAGGAATAAAACTCTAAGTTTTGGTGAATGTAAGTGCTGTAAGAAAAACTTTTAAAGATATGTATTATAACTGAAATCTACAGATGCAAATAGACAAAGTGCAATAAACCAAACACATACAAGTGTCTTTTGGATGTTTTCTTTTCGCTAGTCTGAAATAACATGTTATGGAGGCAAAATGATGAATGAAAATATATGAGGATGTTGGAGGATATGATGAACCAGTGAATGAAAAAACAATGTTTTTGCCTGTAGTGTCTTGCCTTAAAGCATGTTATAAACAATAGCTGACAGTAAAACACACACACACACACGCACACACATACACACACACACACACACACAGCTCAGGGCTCTTAAAAACTTTTGCATTGGGTCAAAAAGCTGCTCAGTTGTTCTGCTGACAAATTTAAGGAAGAATTCTGGCAAAAATTAAATTCTGCCTTCATTTACTTCATGCATGCATGCAAATAAATAAATATAATTAAATATGCATCATAAACATCAGATCTTTATTTCTTTATTATCATATAGGATTATTATGTCATCATCTCTTACATCTGATTCTTGTTGTGCGTAATTTTAATGTAGTTACTTTTTTGTTCATTTTTTGGAAAACAAGAATACATTGTATATTAAATAGTAAAAATAATATATATATATAAAGCATCATAAACATCACATACACCATTTATTATTAATAATATTATTACTATTATTATTATATTTTTTATTATTATTATGTCATCATCTCTTACACGTGCATATTCAAATTGAAGCTTTCAAACTTGGTGCATGAAGAAGTTACACAAGGTGTGATGATGCTATTGCTATTTTGCTATTTATAAAGTCTTTATAAAGATTTATATATTTAGTATTTTAATTTAGTTATTATTTATTTATTTTTGGAATAAAATAACTAAATATTTGAAGAATGTATATTTATATTTATATTGATATGTTATTATTTTATATCAACCTCATGCAAAAAGTACATAAATAATAATGATTTAATAAATAAATAAAGCAAACCTCACATGAATATATATATTTATTTCATTATTATTATAATTATTATTATTATTTTCATTATCTCCTACATCAGATTCATGCTTGTGCATATTAAAATGTTTAAAACACTTTCTTGAGTGGTCCACAATGTTTATTTTTGGGTGAACTATTCCTTTAAAAGCGTTTGTGTCAGTGTGTTATGGTGTGTGTCCTGCAGTATCTCACCCTGCGCCCAGCTCTCGTGTGTTGCTGCTTTCTGCTGGAACTTCTCAGCCAGATGCTCCACACGCTCCAGACGCCTGATCTCAGTGAGCAGCCACTCCTCATAACCCTTCTCAGCCTGATCCAGACCCTGCCACGCCGCCGCGATGTCCTGCACATCAACACACACACGGGTTAACTCACGCTGATGACAGGATCTGTGTGTGTGTGTGTGTGTGTGTGTGTGAGTGTGTGTGAGTGTGTGTGTGTATATATGTGTGTGTGCGTTTGTGTATATGTGTGTGTGTGTGTGTGTGTGTGTGTGTGTGTGTATGCATACACCATCACTTTTGATCAATTGAATGCATCCTTGCTGACAGAAAAAAAACAATCTTGCTGACTCAAACTTTTGAACAGTAGTGTATACTAAAAAAACTTAACCAAAATATGATGTCCTTTCAAAGCTGATTAGCTCTGGCTATTTTCTCCTCATTGAAGCACACACCAACACATGAAATATGAAGATATTGGAGAACCACTGGGCTACAGAAAAAAAAAAGTCACCACTGGAAGAATGACAGTCTGGTGAAAGAGAATGAAAGCAGCACACACCACAAACACAATATAAACCCCTGTGTGTGTGTGTGTGTGTGTGTGTGTGAGTGTGTGTATATATGTGTGTGTGTGCGTTTGTGTATATGTGTGTGTGTGTGTGCGTTTGTGTATATGTGTGTGTGTATGTGTGTGTGTGTGTGTGTCTTACAGACACCATCTTCCCCTCGGAGGGCATGAACGCGGGTCTGTGGCTGATGTGGAGTTTGGTCTGCAGTGTGTTGAAGCTGATCTCCAGCTGACATTTCTCCTGGACTTTGGGTGGTTTGTGAATGCGGCGATAGTCTCTGAAATCCTCCAGCTTATGTCTCATGGCCTCCACTGTGTTCTCAGGGGTTCGTTTCTCCAGCCACGGCGTGGTGCGACGGATCCACTCCAACAACTACAAGAGACAAAAGAAACATATATATACCATATAAAATTATATATATACACACTAGCATTCAAATGTCGGGGTCAGCAAGATTTGTAATGTTTTTAAAAGAAGTCTCTCCTGCTCACCAAGGCTGCATTTATTTGATCAATAATATTGTGAAAATTGTGGAATATTATTATAATGTCAAACAGCTGTGTTCTATGTGAATCTCTGTTGAACTGTAATGTATTTCTGTGATGCGCAGCTGTATTTTCAGCATCATTACTCCAGTCTTCAGTGTCACATGATCTTCAGAAATCAGTATAATATGCTGATCTGCTGCTCAAGAAACATTTCTGATTATTATCAATGTTGAAAACAGTCGTGCTGCACAATATTTCTGTGGAAACTGTGATGCATTTTATTTTTCAGGATTCACAGATGAATAGAAAGTTCAGAAGAACAGCATTTATTTGAAATAGAAATCTTTTGTAACGTTATCATTTTTGAACAATTTAACGTGTCCTTGATCAATAAAAGTATTAATTAATTTTTTAAATCTAATTTTATAAAATGATTAAATATTTACATTTAAAGTGCTTTTGTTTATAAATTTAGTTATTATTATTTTAATTTGATTACTATTTTATTGTTTATTTTTTGGAAGAAAAATATATATTGTATGGTAAACAGCTGAATATATACAGTATATATATATGTGTGTGTCAGTGGTGTGTGTGTGTGTGTGTGTGAGTGAGTGTGTGTGTGTGAGTGTGTGTGTGTGTGTGTGTGTGAGTGTGTGTGTGTCAGTGGTGTGTGTGTGTGTGTGTGTGTGAGTGAGTGAGTGTGTGTGTGTGAGTGTGTGTGTGTGTGTGTGTGTGAGTGTGTGTGTGTCAGTGGTGTGTGTGTGTGTGTGTGTGTGAGTGAGTGAGTGTGTGTGTGTGAGTGTGTGTGTGTGTGTGTGTGTGAGTGTGTGTGTGTCAGTGGTGTGTGTGTGTGTGTGTGTGTGAGTGAGTGAGTGTGTGTGTGTGAGTGTGTGTGTGTGTGTGTGTGTGAGTGTGTGTGTGTCAGTGGTGTGTGTGTGTGTGTGTGTGTGAGTGAGTGAGTGTGTGTGTGTGAGTGTGTGTGTGTGTGTGTGTGTGAGTGTGTGTGTGTCAGTGGTGTGTGTGTGTGTGTGTGTGTGAGTGAGTGAGTGTGTGTGTGTGAGTGTGTGTGTGTGTGTGTGTGTGAGTGTGTGTGTGTCAGTGGTGTGTGTGTGTGTGTGTGTGTGAATGAGTGAGTGAGTGTGTGTGTGTGTGTGTGTGTGTGTGTGAGTGAGTGTATGTGTGTGAGTGTGTGTGTGGGTGTGTGTGTGTGTGTGTGTGTGTGTGTGTGAGTGTGTGTGTTGTTGTAGTACCTCACTGGCCAGTCGTTCATATTCCTCCATCAGTTTCTCATTTTCCTGATTCACTCCAAGCACTTTACAGATCCTGTTAGCCGCCGTTTCTGCCTATAAACACACACCAATGTCACATGACGTCTGTACTGCCTTTGAAATTACCCATGATGCACCTGTCTTCCTTTAATCAGATGCGTAGCTTAGTTAGTGCAGAAGTACCTGTTCTGCTCCAGCAAACGCGTGATAGAAGCAGGACACATACGTCATGATGGCCCGCTCGTCAGGCTTCGGGGTGTTAACGATGTCTGGAGCACAGAGACAAATACAGTCACACGTACAAGAACTAAACTCACAACTACAAGAACAAACACTGCGACATATGCTTAAAACACTGCTTAACCTTAAACAGCATGATCTAAGTGAGTCCACCATTGCACACACATCAGAGGGTAATATTTGCATTGCATTCTGGGATGGATTGCTGAAGGCCGTCAGGTCATGAGGTGCATGATCGAAACATGACACGCAGACAGCTGTGCTCGCTAAATCTGTTCCTGAGTTCAGCAGGACGGTATTGTTGTATAATAATACAGCAGTCACATTTAGAACGTGCATTTAAAATCTTTACATACATGATTATTTATTTATCACAAAGCTGCTGACAAAATCACACACCTGCTGTTGCATATTCAATATTAATGCATTAACAATGCAGCCAGGGTTATTATAGGTTAACTAAAACTAAAATAAATTTTTATAATAATAACATTTATCAATAAACAAACTAATAAACATGATAAAAACACACAACAAAATTACTAAAATGTATATTTTTTAAATATATTTATATTTAAAAATATTTATATTTTAACTAAAATTTTGATGAAAATGAAAAAAAACTAGTTCAAAATACTAATAAAAGCTATGAACGTGATGCTAAAATAACACTGTCTCCTAAAGCCCGAAAGAGGGTTATTATCATTAACTAAAACTTAACTAAAAATTAAAAGCATAAAAAAGTCTCAAAATAAAATATAAAAAAACGTAAACTTGTTTTATTTCAGATAGCTGCCAATGCAGCATTTCTAATTTCCTTTAAAGTTTAACTCGAAGTGCTAAAATAACTCAAATTAAAGACTATAACTAATAAATAAAAATGAATAAAAACTATATAGACATATTTTAAAAAGCTACAAAAAAAATGACAAAAAAACAACTAAATTACTAAAACTTGAACTAAAACAAAATATTAAAAATAAAATCTTGAAAGTATTAACAAAAACTATAATAGTATATTAATGATACTAAAACGGCAACATTGGCAACCAAAAGATGCAAAAAATACTATTAATAAAAAATTTAAATATTTATTTAAAATGAGGGTTAGTGTTTTATAATGCTTTATATATATATATTAAAATTAAATGTTATATAATTTATATATATATATATATATATATATATATAATTTATACCTTTTATATATTTAAAATTTAATTTAATTTAATATATATATATAAAATAAAAATTATATATTTTTAAAAAATATTTATAGAAACTAATAGTCTCAATGATGCTAAAATATCACTGTCTCCTGAAGTGCTTTCATTCTTGCAGGCTGAGATCTGTGTTGCCAAGTCCGCAGTTTTCCTGCAAAAGTGGGATACTTTTACACAGTTTTTTTTTTTACTTTACACTGTTGCCGCAGGTTGTTTTTTAGTCCGCAGGTTAAAGCAACCACTGGGGAAAACCACTGGAAAATTGCTATTGGGCTAGTTTTGAATCAGTCTGGGTTTTTTCCCGCAGACCTGGCAACCCTGGTTGAGATTAGATCATGATGCTCTCATGCGACCGGCTGTTAACCAGTTCTGGTTTCAGACACGGTCTTCAGGATTATCGGTCAGTGTGAGGGATCCCGTTAAATCCCGTCTGGTCATTCAAGCAGTTCACGATCAAATGACTCGCATCGTTCAGAGCAGAGAAACAGATCAGCTCTGTAAATAGAGCATCTGTGACAGAAAACCTGCTCCCATCTCTCAGTCTTTAGCAAAACCACCCTCATCAGGCTCTCATCATCCCTCAGTGTGGTAAAGCACAAATAATGTGCATTAGAGTCTGTGGTGCACCAGATTTTCAGATCAGAAATGTGAAGCTCATATTTTTGTTAAAGCACTAGTGTTTAAGGCTATAACCAGACGTTCATGACCGAGAACAGCAGGTGCAACTAGAGCTTAAAACATGTAAACTAGTTCTGCTTCTGAAGCCTGTGAATGATTTGTATGGGCATTATTATAAACACAATTACTTTGAACAAACTGCACTGTAAAAAATGATTTGAGACTAGTTGAAATGACTGTCTGTCACAAATACATGTTCATCCAAACAATGCATTCAGCTATCGATGTAATCACACTTCCATATGATTAGTAATAATAATACAAACGGCATCCTAAAACCACGGTTATTATCCTTAACTAAAACTATTCAAATATTTTAGTTAATTGAAATAAAGCTGAAATAAAATCAAATGTAAATAAAAAAGTTATTTAAATAATTTCTTGTTTTCATGTAGTTTAAGTTAAAGCACTAAAATTACTGGAAATAAAATGAAACAATTAAATAATAAAAAAAATAAAAGAGAAAGAAAGAAAGAAAGAAATGTAACTAAGCCTAATTTAAATAAATAAAAAGTCAATAAAAAATTAAAATTAAATAAAAACTTTAATAAAAAATTAATTAAATAAAATTAAAATAAATAAAATTAAAAAATAAATAAAAATTAAAATAAAACCTAAATAATAATATTTAAAAAAATTAAAAAGTAATAATAATCAAAATAACAGATGCATGACAATATTATTTAAAAAATATCTAATATCAAAATTAAAATGAAAACTGAAAGTAAACAAATAAAAGCTCATTCAAAATATTAGTAAAACAATACTAAAACAACACTGCCTTAAAACCTTAAAGAGTGCTGCATGAACAGAGGTTTGTGTCAATGATTTTGTAGGTGAGTCATCTGTTAGTTAACACACACACACACAGACTTTAGCAGGACGAAAATGAAAATAAAGCATGTGAAATAAACTGTATCTTCACGTTGGTACCTGCAGTGGAAGTTCTGTACGTTGACGTTCCTGTACGGGGCCGTTTTCCTCTGACACCACAGCAGGAGCCCTTCTTTAGCCGAGGTTTCTGACAGAGACTCAGTGTTAAACATGCGTAAAGCGTGTTTGTTTCATGAGATGCAGTGTGTGTGAATCTCTCTTTACCCTCCACTGAGATGTCCTGGATGGCGAAGCGCAGGATGATGGTCCAGATCATTCCCAGAGTCATCTTCACATTCCCATCAACAATCTCTGAGGATCCAAGACACACTCCAGTTCCTCACGATTAGGACATCTTACTAGCTTAATTCATGCAAATAACTGTGCAATGATAGTTTTTTTTAAAGTATTAAAATACAGTGTGTGCACAATTATTAGGCACGCTGATATTCTGATCATATTTTTTTCCCAAGCACATAATAATACAAAATTAATAGTAGTTATTAAGGAAAAAATATGATCAGAATTAGGACATTTTACTAGCTTAATTCATGCAATAATATTACACGGTATTTTTTTTTTAAAGTATTAAAATATTAGCATTTTATTATTTACATTTCACTTTATCTATTTATTTTTTGTATATATATATATATATATATATTACACTTTTCGAGTCCATTTTACATTCCATTGTTTTGTTTTTTTTGTACGGAAAACATAATATCGATTATTATTATTACTTGATATAAAAAATAATTGAAAATGAAAAAATAAACCTAATTAGTAATTTTTTTTTAATAAACAAAGACAGAGAACAAAAAGAAAAATTACAAAAGTACATGACAAAATTACTATCTCATTTAAAATATTAATAAAAACCATATATATATATATATATATATATATATATACTGTATATATGTACGTGTCATATTTCATATAATAATCAGCATTATGTTGCTCTGATATAAAATCAAAGAAAAAAAAACATTTTTAAATATTAATTAATAATTTAATTGAATTATTTGTAATATTATTAATTATTTTAAATATTTTTAAATATTTAACAATTTAGAATATTTATTCTACCCTGTATAATATTTCTTAATTCACAGTTATTTGCATAACAGTCAAACTAGTAAACATGTTGTAATTATGACAGACTGCGAGATCAGAAACATTTACATAATCCTATGAATACAGAATCAAATCATTAATCGAATTCAGATTGAACTGACTCTCACTGTGAACCGAATCAAATCGAATCGCATTGAGTTTGCAAAAATCACTCCTGAATTGAATCAAAAACCTATGAATAGTGAATCAAATTGATTCACTGTCCACCCAGAGATTCTCATCCTACTGATCAGGATTTCAAATGCAGAATGATTGCAGTATATGATTTCATATAATCATAATGCAGCTGTGACAGGATTTTAATACATTTAGAAAATGCCAAACATCTATTAGCAACAAAAGCAGAGTCGAGATACGAGTTTAAAGCAGTCAAAGCTCTTATTTTCAGCAGTGCTTCTGAAATTCAGTTCTCCATCAATGTGTTTCTCTCTCACCCTCAGCGCCGATGGACACCAGCTTCACTCCTTTACTGGTGATGTAGTCCAGAGCTTTGTTCACATTGGCGATTTTGTGGAAGCGCATCTTTCCTCTGTCTGGTCTGGGAAGCCTTTCACCTGGAGGGAAACAACCAGTCAGCGAGAGACAGAAGAAGCTGAAACGTTCTCCTCAGAAGCGCTCAGTACCTGAGATGACCTCCAGCAGCAGCATCAGCTTCAGCCCGTTCCTCAAATCCTCCTCGATGTTCTCGATCTGCGTTCCTGCTTTCCTCAGGTGAGAGTTACACCAGGCTGTGAACGTCTGAGACACACACACAGACACACACACACACACACACTCACACACGCACACACACA